AAATTTAGGCTGCGAAGAAAAAATCCGGCCCGTGGGCCGTATCGTAAAAAGCTGGACCGGTCACGTGCGTATGATTAGCCAATCAAATTCGAGGACTTAGGAATCCGGCCCGCTCAGATGCTTGAGAAAAAAATAAATGTATATATTTATCTTTAATATGATGCCCGGGTGTTGTGATAGTAATTTTTGACACGGATTTTTTGGAAACCAATTCAATCTGATGGAAGAGAATCCGCAATGGTATAAACTCTCAGTCGGCTTGGCTCTCTCTCTCTCTCTCTCTCTCTCTCTCTCTCTCTCTCTCTCTCTNCCCTCGGTCTCCCTTCCTCTTCTCTTCTCCCCTCTCCTCTCTTCTCTTCTCATCTCTTCTAGCTCTTCTCTACTCGTCTCATCAAATCGCATCGCATCGTATCGTATCGTATCGTATAGTTCACACGACCTCGATCAAGATTCTCCAATACAGACCGACTAAGTTCAGTTAAGATGTTAATTATATGGCAAACAAGAAATGTAACCGTTCTAGATGGGAAAATCTATACCGCAGTCAGTGTCGATTCTAGCCAATCAAATTCGTGATATCGGTAGTTCCCAGTCCTTGTGAGACACAGCCATATAATAAAAGACCATGTTGCGTGTTTGTATAGTTTTAATCCTGGTCTGCACTATGCGCATGAATCATCATTGTTTTTTTTCTGTTTTTGTTTGTTCTTTTATTTTTGATTTGTTTTTAGGACAACTGCGGCCGCGAATTTAGAGTTGTATTATTGGATTCTGAAGGAATAGATGCTGCAATGGCAAAGGGACAAACTGACAATCAGATTTATACCTTGACAGTTTTACTAGCTTCTATTTTTATTTACAATTCCAAAAATGTCCCTAAAAGAAGTGACCTCAGTGGATTGGAGTATCCTTTTAACTCAAACATTTCGCAGGTTCTCCTCTTTGTGCAGCTCACTGGTTTACCGTGAGATTGTGCAACATTATTGCATAATCTCATATAGTCATCGGCGTGTTAAAGGTTTGGGGATTTTATGAAACCTGAGAATCCCTCCCCCGATGAAAGTTAATATTTAATGAAGATAGTGAAAACTCGCCCGATGAGAGTTAATTGTTAATAAAGATAGCGAAAACTCGAGACGAAATCGGATTGTCGCATTACAAAGGAGCCGACATACCGCCTTAGCTTCTAGTGTAATCCCTTCTAAACGGCTCAAACAGACCCAGGAACACAGGTAAATAACAGTGCAGAAATTTTGCAAATGATTATGTTATTGCTAATACAGTGTTCGCGTCCCCTGTACTTTGGGCGAGCGAGAAGATTTTCATGAACTCAAATCGAATGGGAGCTTTAAAACTGCCTACAGGCCAAAATTTAAGCTTGTTCTTTTGTTTTTGTAATCGGTGATGCGGTGAATAAAATCCCAACTTGCGGTGTTCGGGTGATCTCAAACTCTTCGGTGTGCGATGTTTGTGTTTTTCACGCTACGGTTAACGGTGAAATAAAATTATTTGCGGTGCTGTGCTTTCTTGTTTGAGCATTTAGCACCTAAACTTCGTTAATCCGTGCTAATTTATGACAAGCACGTATTATTGTTTTTAACAAAATACAGACCAACACTGTCTAGTTAAATTACAATATGCTTTAGCTGCCAATCCGAAGCTGTTTTCACTAATACATAACTTGGCAAGTAACTTTACCTCTGCCACGATACACCCGGAGCTGGAACGAATTTATTAGCTTTTTTAGCTGAGTACAGGCAATGAAAAGCGTTGTGATATGTTAATTTCGTGAAAAATTGTTGACGCCGTTCGAGACAATAGAACGTTAACCATGGTAAAAGTTCGATATACGCTGTGATCAACCATGGTTTAGGTCGGTAACCAAGGTTGAGACGACAGATATATCAAGTCCACTTGAGGTCGCATAGTATCTGGCACCTCGTGGTTTCCAGATTGCGTCAATCTCATTTGGTCGCGTTTTCGACAACGTCTGTTTTCATGGCACAATAGTAAGCCAAATCTGGACCAGCCACTCGGACGAAATATTCGAAAGTACGTATAGATAGTCTGAAGTTATCTTTCCACCAGTTTTGAACGAAATTTCAGTGCAAAAGGGTTTCAAACCAGAATTGGTTAGGAGTCATTAAAAGCGCTTCCTCTCTCAGCGATTTCTGAAAGTTGAGCGGTTTTGGAATTTGAATCTCCTGGTTAGCGGGTTAAATGAATGGAAACAGAAATCACATTAAACTAGAGAATTTTAGTCTGCAAACAAACACCTAGAAAGAATGTTCAGTTTTTCGTGTCGAAATCCTTCGTTGTCCCGAGTCAAATTACATGTAGGTCGTCTGACGGTTTCGATCGCGAGTGGTTGATTTTTGACTCGAATTCGTGGCCATAATTTCCTTTCAGTTGAGCCCTGGTAAACTTGAGCGGCGGTTATCTTCGAACTAATGTAGACATCAGACGGAGAGGTGATTTGAAAACGAATTGCTCACTTTGATTTAGGGGTAATTTGTAGAACGCATCTGGTTGAATCATGTGGTTTTCGATTAAAAAGCAGTAGGTTACAATAATTCTAAGGAAAGGTGACAAACAGAATCAAAAAGATAAAGACAAACAACTTACAGATATTTCCTCCTATTGATGTAAACTGGTAGACTGAAATAACTGATGAACTAAACTGAAACTCGATGCAATTGACATGATTGCTGCATGATACAATACGTACTGAACAAAAATGTTACGCAACGAATCACATGTATTTTACAGGTTTATATTTTCCCCACAAGCTTTGTAGCTTTGATTCTTATTGTGTTGAAATAAATGTTTTATGTTTAGATGTTAATGTTATGATCGATTTAAACTTAGGGCACTCTCCATTTGTTAGAACTGCCCGACCGGAAAGAACTGGTTCTAGCTCATCGGTTTAATGGAACGGCCAAAGGCCGGTTCGCGTGGTATACACGCAAGACACGCAAGAGCCGATGTAAACAATATGGCGGACTTAGCGACGCAAATTTGCAACATTCCGCCGACATTTTTTCTCGACTTTCTTTCGTCGGAGGAGGAGGATACTCTTTTTATGAACGATGCAGAAGACGAATTTGTGTTTTTTTCAATTATGTGTATTTTTTCTCGGCGCAAGCTAGTGAGAATTGCGCACTATTTCGAAAACACGGTTCCACGCTATCATTGCGATGGCTTCAGGAGTCATTTCCGGATGACTTCCTCGACATTTGAATTACTTGCTCAATTGTTATCTCCAAGTGAGCATATCCCAAAGGGAAATGCATTTGGCAGGTGTAATAATCTTGTTCTAAGAGCACGATGGATTCGGATAAACACAGCTCCAGAAAACAACATCCAAGTTTTTATTCCAACATGACTACCGAGTCCCGGTACAATGCGCATGTCTGTACTCTGTACTAATACGAAATACCGCTGATCATTACAACGTTCCCCTTACAAAAAGAAAAAAAAAGGAGTAAATAAAAACAGAAAAGTGCACGTTGATACCAAAATGGGTAACACTGTGTAATATCAAAAGGACAAAAACTTCATGCACAGTTCATGTTTCCTCTAATTTCAACTCGTAAGAAATGAGGTGGCTTCACAGTTTCTGTAAACGTCCCTAATGTTTCATTAAGTTTCAAGAAGAAACGTGTTCATTGTCACATAACATAATCCTTGAAACGTAGAGGCCTTCTCACAGCCCTTCCACTTGCTGTCTTGTGAGGCTCTGAGATTTCGTCCTCCAATGAATGAATTTCCTCTTGCTCTTGAGATGTTGTGGTTGGCTCTTCAAAAAATGGGACTGCTTGATCAGCTGTTTCCTTGGAAGGTGAACTTCCATTTGTTCTCACAGTTGGAGACTCGTGATGAGGTGAGACGTCTGTTGCTGATGGATCGCTTTCCGGTGATTTCATTAATACTCTTCTATTTCTGCGTTATTCTCTTTCTTCATCAGTTCGAATCCTATAAGATCTTGGTGTTCCTGCAGGTTCTGTTACAACGCCTGGTTTCCAATGGCTTCCCATTTGTACTCTGATCCGGTCACCTTTCTTTAACGTGGGGAGGTGTTTGGCATGCTGATCAAAATAGTGTTTTTGTTTTTCTTGTTTGAGCCTCAGTTTCTCCTTAACTTTGTGTGGATCAAGGACTTCAGGCTGCAATTGTGCGTCGGTAGTGGGAATGATCGACCTTAGTCGTCGGCTCATAAACAGTTGCGCAGGTGAACCAACATCATCAATTGGTGTGTTCCTGTATTCAAGTAGTCCCAGATAAGGATCGNTCATGCACAGTTCATGTTTCCTCTAATTTCAACTTGTAAGAAATGTAGTGGCTTCACAGTTTCTGTAAATGTCCCTAATGTTTCATTAAGTTTCAAAAAGAAACGTGTTCATTGTCACATGACATAATCCTTGAAATGTAGAGGCCTTCTCACAGTCCTTCCACTTGCTGTCTTGTGAGGCTCTGAGATTTTGTCCTCCAATGAATGAATTTCCTCTTGCTCTTGAGATGTTGTGGTGGGCTCTTCAAAAAATGGGACTGCTTGATCAGCTGTTTCCTTGGAAGGTGAACTTCCATTTGTTCTCACGGTTGGAGACTCATGATGAGGTGAGATGTCTGTTGCTGATGGATCGCTTTCCGATGATTTCATTAATGCTCTTCTATTTCTGCAGTATTCTCTTCCTTCATCAGTTCAAATCCTATAAGATCTTGGTGTTCCTGCATGTTCTGTTACAATGCCTGGTTACCAATGGCTTGCCATTTGTACTCTGATCCGGTGACCTTTCTCTAACGTGGGGAGGTGTTTGGCATGCTGATCAAAATAGTGTTTCTGTTTTTCTTGTTTGAGCCTCAGTTTCTCCTTAACTTTGTGTGGATCAAGGATATTAGGCTGCAATTGTGCGTCGGTAGTGGGAATGATTGACCTTAGTTGTCGGCTCATGAGCAGTTGCGCAGGTGAACCAACATCAATTGGTGTGTTCCTGTATTCAAGTAGTCCCAGATAAGGATCGCGGCGATCTTGCTTTGCTTTGGTTAGTATATTTTTCATTGTTTGAACTTCTTTCTCAACAAGACCATTTGCCTGGGGGTACAGTGGACTGACAGTAGTGTGTTTGAATTCCCACTGTTTATCAAACAGTGAAAAGTCCTTAGAGGCGTACTGGGGACCATTGTCGCTGATTACTTCAGATGGTATTCCATGTCTGGCAAACATGGATTTGGTGTAGGTGATGACTGTGGTACTTTTGGTGTTTGGTAGTTTGGCTACTTCAAAATATCTTGAGTGATAGTCAACAATGATCAGGTATTCAGATTTGTCCCATGTGAACAAGTCTGTGGCAACTATTTCCCAGGGCTTGCTTGGTATGCGAGAAGGGATCATTGGTTCTTTCGTGTTTTGCCGTTGATGCTGTAGGCAAATGGTGCATCTTGATATCATGTCGCTGATTTGAGAATTCATTCCTGGCCAGTACAGTACATCTCTTGCTCGTCGTTTGAATTTTTCGATCCCCATGTGGCCTTGATGTATCCTTTGCAGCATTTCTTTTCTCATAGAGGACGGGACTATTATTCTGTCATTCTTGAGAAGAACACCCTCGACTTCAGAAAGCTCATCTCTTACATTCCAGTAGATTTGAATATTTGCTGGTGTTTGAGACTTTGTTTCTGGCCATCCCGACTTGATCGTTTTTTTCAGTTCTTTCAGTGATGGGTCATTCGCTGTGGCTTCTTTGATTTCTTCTAGTTTGGGCTTTGAGACCGGTAGGTTTGAAGTTAGCAAGTGGACATGTAGTACAATTTCTTCTTCCATGCTGCCATATGCTGTTTCAGGAAGTGGTGCTCTGGAGAGCATGTCAGGAAGCACTAACTCCTTTCCTGGCTTGTATTCCAACGTGTAATCATATTTCTGCATTCTGAGTAGGATTCTTTGTAGTCTTGGTGGCGCTGATGCCAGTGCTTTTTTAACAATGGCCTCAAGTGGCTTGTGATCTGACTCAATAGTAACTCTCTTTCCATAGGTGTATTGGTTGAAACGTTCTAAGCTGAATTGAACAGCCAAGAGTTCCTTCTCTATTTGAGCATATCTTGATTCTGCATCAGTGAGGGATCTTGAAGCATAGGCAACAGGACGTCGGTCTTGTAGCAGCACCCCTCCTAGGCCGGTTGGGGAGGCATCACAGCTGATAGTAACTGGCTTCTGTACATCAAAGAATCTCAGGACTGGCCCTCCATCTTTGGTTAGGATGCTTTTGATTTCTTGAAGTGCTTTATCTTGTTCATGTGACCACTGAAATTCAATGTCCTTTCGTAGTAGAACTCTGAAAGGTTCAGTGACGGTTGCCAGATTTGGGATGAACTTGCCCAGATAATTGACTGTTCCAAGGAGTCTTTCTACTCCCTTCTTATCAGTTGGTGCAGGCATGTCATTGATGGCGCGTACCTTTTCATCATCAGGTTTGATTCCTTCTTGCGTGAGTTTGTGACCAATGTAGGTGACTTCTTTGACTTTGAAGACACACTTTTCTTTGTTTAGTGTTAGGTTAATTTCTCACATCGTTCAAGGACTGCTTGTAGACGATGGTCATGTTTTACTTCTGTTTCTACATGCACTATGATGTCATCGATGTCGGTTTCAATTCCTTCCAAGTCGCCAAAGTGTTGACTCATCCGCTTTTGGAAGACTTCTTGGGCAGACGTGATTCCGAATGGAGTGACCTGATAGCAGTACCGCCCAAACGGTGTATTGAAGGTAGTTAGAAGTTGACTTTCTTCATCAAGAGGTATCTGCCAGTATCCTCGGTTTGCGTCTAGCTTGGTGAACCATTTTGCATTTGCCATGCGTGTAGTGATGTCTTCGATGGTGGGTAGCTGAAAATGTTCCCGCTTTATTGCTTTATTGAGGTGCCTTGGATCTAAACAGATCCGCAATATTATTAGGCTTTTCAACAATGGCCATAGAGTTGACCCAATCTGTGGGTTCTTCTACCTTGCGAACAACTCCTCGCTTTTCCATGTCATCTAATTTTTCTTTCACTCTGTCACAAAGGGCTGCTGGGATAGTTCTTGGCGGGTTTATGACAGGTGTCACAGTAGGGTCTACTTCAATGTGGTAAGGTTTCTCCATACGTCCCAACCCAGTGAATACCTGTGCATATTTCTGCAGTACTTCTTCTCTCAGTTCTTCAGACGACTTCGTAACTTCCTCACCTTGGTCTGGTTCCGTTTGCTTTTCTTCTGTCTTAGCCATCATAACTACTTTGATTAAACCCAGATCTTGAGATGAGGTGAGTCCCAATAATCCTGGTTGATTTGTTTCCACTATATGGAAAGTCAGCTCATGTTCTACATCTGTCTTGGATTTCACTGGCAGTTTAGCAGTGCCAAGTACTGTTAGCTTGTCTTCGGAGTAACTGACTAGATTATGGTTGCAGGTATTTATCTGTGGATTGCTTCCAACTATCTTCTTTAGATCTTTGAGTGGCATGATGTTGACTTGAGAGCCGGTGTCTATCTTGAGTCTTGTGATATGTCCTTTCACTGGCAACATCACAAAGCACTCCTCATTCTGGATCTGAACTTCTGTAGTGACAGCTCCTACAAATAGGGTTGAGTCAAGATCATGTTCTTCTCCTTGTTGCTCTACGCCCAGTCGATGGACTTTTTTTCGTGATCTGCACACACTCTGGAAGTGATTTCGTTTCTG